TGCCTGCTGAAATTCCACTATCCCAAGCTCTCAACTCAGAGAAATCAAACCAGTACCAGAATGGCTCCATGGAATAGAATCAGTCAGAGATTCTCTACAGAAATCCTGGTAAATTTGAAGGACAGTGTTCTAAAATTCCACCTGGTGTGCTCTCCAGCCACCCACACTTAGAGGCCTTTCAGAAGACTAGAAGCAAATGGAAGGTAAAGCTGCTGTGTTTGCATCTTGTGTGCTTGCCACTGGCTTGTGTACAGTACCCTTATTTGTCTAAAACTCAATAAACTACACAAATACTCATTTTTTCATATTTAAAGCCTCCTGTTCATATTACAAAGGCAAGTTCAAAAAATCATTGCACAATATTAAATCAGCTGCAACCAATATAACTCTGAAATTTATACCAGCTGAGAATCACACCATCTCCTTTAGGCACTGAGTCTTTTAAACAGGTACTTCTTTAAAACCCACACTCCACAAGTTATAATACCTTTTGGAATATTGTTTGTTTTCTTTTGTCACTGACCTGGGGACCTCTTTATATTCTTTTGATGGATTTTTTTTATACCAGCTCTCATAAAGAGATTTTCCTTCAAACCCCTCATCAGGACTTGGTATCTAGAAAAAGTATATTATATGAAAAGATAAAAGGTACAATTTTAAATGTTACCAAGAAATAAATCTGTCATCATGTAAAGACTATGGCTTAGGGAAATGAATAAGTCACAGTCTTAAGTCACTCAACCTTTCTGCATTTCCATTTTATGTCAAATGCAAAACATTTGTATTAATGAATAAAGGAGGGCTGGTTGGGGACATGAAGGTTTGGAACAGCCTTGGCAACAGTGACCGCAATGTGGTGGGGCATAGTATTTCACAAGGTAGAAGGAGGGCAATAAGTAGGATCACAACTCTGGACTTCTGCAGGGCTAACTTTGCATTCTTCAAAGATCTACTTGAGGGAATCCCATGGGCTAAGACGCTGGAGGGTAAAGGGGCCCAAGAAAGCTGGTCACTTTTTAAACACCACCTCCTCCAAGCCCAAGATAGGTGCGTTCCTTTGAGTAAAAAATTGGGTAGACGAGCTAAGAGATCTGCATGGATGAGCAGGGAGCTTCTGAAGGAAATTTCATGGATGAAAGAAGTGTATAGCTCATGTAAGAAGGGACTTGTCACTTGAGAGAAATATAGGGAAACTGTCAGGACATGTAGGAAGGCAATAAGAAAGGCCAAAGCCCTCATAGCACTAAAGCTAGCAAAGGAAGTTAAAGAGAACAAAAAGGGCTTCTTCAGACATATCAGTAGTAAAATAGGGAAAGTGTGGGCCCACTGCTGAGTGGGGCACAGCCCTGGTAACTGAGGATGCAGAGAAGGCAGAGCTGCTGAATGCCACCTTTGCTTCGGTCTTTAACCCTGAGACCAGCCCTTGAGAACTCCAGACCCTAGATGTAGGAGAGAAAGCCTGGAGGAGGGAAGACTCTCTGCTAGTCAATGGAGACTGGGTAGTGATCAGTTAAGGAACCTGAACAAACCTAAGTCCATGGGCCCTGATGAGATGCACCCAAGAGTATTGAGAGAACTGGCTGACGGTACTCTACCACTCTCCATCATTTTTGCTAAATTGTGGCAAATAGGAGAGGTGCCTGAAGACTGGAATAAACCCAATGTCACTTTTCATTTTTTCACTTTTTTCATCTTTACTTTTCATTGGTGGGCTGCTGAGGTTTTATTATCTTTAATCTATTAAACACTATCGATATCTATTCTTTTTTTTTTTATATATATATATATACACACACCATCTAAGATTACTGCACAATGGGAGTCAAAAAAACCCCTAATATATTTGGGGTTTGCTCATGAAGCTAATTATGCTGTTCTAGGCCGTTCATAGAACAGCATAAAGAGTTAACCCTTTTTGCCACAGGTGAACTTTGGGTCAGCATTCTGTTCAGACATCATCCATCAACAAGCTGTGGTTACATGCATTCATCAGCCTTTGTTGCTGCTTCCCAGATAAGGGAAGGATTACACAACCATGTTTACTGGTATTTAGGTCAACATTTTAATGATGGCTCTGGGTGTCCAAACAGAGACTCTGCTGACATGATTTTCTGACTGTTCTGAACACCTGCACTTAGCACAGGTTACCATGGGAACTCCAGGTGATCAGTTCTTCTGCAGTTCAGGACAGAAATATCTTCATCTAGGCACCTAATTTTAACAGAGTTAAATTTTATTTGTTGTATTTCAATTGCCAGAAAACGACTATACTCTATTAATACATTTCCTTTACTTTTGTATCACTCCAATGCCACCTTCCAAGAGATAACAAATTATCAACTCTGAAAAAGACAGATGACAATATATACAGCAGATTAAGACAGGTATAGTACAGTCAGAGAATATATACAGTAGTTGAATGTACATTATATATATTTATCTAAAACACACACATAGAGGACTATGGAGGGGACCTTTCTCAGGAAATAGCCTCACCAGCTTAGATATAAGACATGCCTTGCTTTGATTGCCTCTTAGAGGCTAGCACTAAGGGCTTTTATTTCTGTTTTTTTATTGTTCATCTGTATTAAAGCATGAACACATCTAACAGGGTACACTGAAGCTGAGTACATTGACTAAACCACATCATGCTGTGTCACATCATGCTACAGACAATGCTGTAGCAAGCCTAATTTCCTCCCCTACTTACAGGGAGTCAGTCTCCCACTACCACTGGCACTTTATTAGCTGGACTGGGCAGCCAGGTTTGTACTTGTTTCTGTCCTCTGGCTCACGTCATTTTTTAATTCATCTGTTCTTAGAAGGAGTACTTTCACAGGAGGAACAGAGAAATCCCCTAATCCTGCTAACTTGAAATCCTTTTGCCATTTCTGGGCAAAAGCTCCAGTTACTTGGCTGTTGACTTAAAGGTTAGTGCAGTCAGAACAGAAAGAAACATCTGACACCGTATTTTATACACAGAGCCCTGCCCAGTAAGTGAGCAAAGAACATGCTGGCCAACCACTTCAAGCAATATTACCTCTTTAGTCAGACTGTACACCAGTCTGTACAACAGTGGTGTGCAATCCACTCGTAGCGTGTAGTTTCCTGAAAAACAAGAAAAACTATTTATTCAAAGGAGCAAGTTCTACTCATCTGAAAAGGGACCAGAGAGCTACACTCTCTACAGGGAACAAGTTGATTCTTCCTATAGAAGAGATGTCCTGTGATCTTGCCAGTATATCTATATTGGTTAGGATGAATTACAGCCCAGATCTGAAGCAACCCTGAAAAGCTTTTCTTATGTCCCTGTTTATCACAGATTACAAGAGAAGAAGCTGACTCTAGAGAGTTGACATAGAACTGCTCACATGGGTAACAACACTTCTTGTCTCTCATCATGACTTCCCAAATTATGTAGCTACTATAAGGGACTTCTCTGAAGCAACAGGAATATCTGAAGGACACTATATGATTGTCAGTCATGATTTCCCCCCATATCTACTCCTGGACTAATGCAACCAAATTGCATTGAAAGGATTGAAGCTTTCATGGACCTCCAAGCCAAAATGCCTCCCAGCCATCTGTACATATCATCACTATTCCTGTAAAGTACAAATCAAAACAATGTACCTTCGATGGAGGAATCTGCATTGATATAAGCCACTGCCCGTGCTTGCAATATTTTGGCATTTTCCTATGAGAAAGAAAAGATGAAGAAAATGCTGGTGAACATTTTTTTTCTCAGAACTCTTTTCTTATCCACAGAAGTAACAGCTGTTTCAGGGAAAGATATCATATACTTCAAGGAGCCCTATATTCTTGGTAGTTCAAGAGGAAACGAGAGTGAGAGGGAGGGCGGGAGGAAGGGACAGAGGGAGGCAAGAACTGTCGCTTTCTAGTAAAGATTTCACAAAGATCTGCCACTGTGCAAATTTCTCTTAGAAAACTATTGGTTTACCTCAGCCCACTCTGTTGATCCTAACAAGCCAAATTCCTCTGCATCCCAGCTTGCAAATATCACTGTTCTCCTTGGCCTCCATCCTGCAACAAAAGAGCATGAAAATTTTATTACAGAAATAAAGACTGCTTGTTATATGATAAATAATGTGAAAACAAATGTCACTTTTTATACTGATATGTGAGGAAAGAGGTGTCTTTAGGGACCTTTAACACCAGCTTCTTCACTATCCTAATCTAATAAAGGTTTGCCAATTTTGTAGCAATCTCACTTCCACTTCAAGATTGTGCCAAATAATGTACTCTTTTTCTTCTATCAGCTTTAATTGCAAGAAAATTTTCTGAAGTATAAAACTCTGAACACGGAAGAATAATGTGCCTGTGTACAAATTTTTGAAAGAAAGCTTTTCTACTCCTTCTGCTCTGTTCAATTTAGTATGTGTTGTATACCAGTGTCTACTTTGACAGAAAAGTGTTTGGTATGTCTTCATATCTACTACTGAATTTCTTTGACCTGTTTCCTGAATGCCAGATTTCAAAACCTAAGGAATTCCCTCTTACTTTGACAGATTGATAAACTTCAAAAAAAAGATCTTTCACTTCAAGTTCTGCATTCAGTTTAAATCCAGGCCAAAAGGACCAGGCTCTATTGCCTTGCCTCTGTATCCCTGCCCAAAGGGGTTTTTTTGAGGCTACTGGAACCTTTTCATCTTTTTCTCCTTTTCTTTTTTACTACTTTTATTTCTTCCAGCTAGCATTCCAAAGACAGTTTTCCCTAATAGCCAATAACTGAGAGGGAATGGAAAGAAAACTAAATGTCACTAGGTTTTAAGTGTAATGCATAGGCAACAAAAGCTCCTCTAGCACAACACTTGAATTACATCAGAGCTTCCTTCCATGTGATGTGAGATAGGGAGATAGTATTTGCTCTGACAGCAGCAGAACCTTGGTGCAGTTGACATTTGTTCCTATTCTAATGTAACTAGGCATGAGGTATTTTTAACCATTACCTCCTACAATGTTTGCACAGCTCATTCTCTGCATTACACAGGCATGCTTTATTTATTCTTGGAACTGTCTCCAAACTACAGTCAAATGTTGAGAAGGCTCTTGATGTCGCCCTGATGAAGCCTCGATCAGTTCACCACTGTATCAGTTCTAGAAGTACCTCACACAGAGAAAGGCTGTAACTGGAACTAGTGAACACCTGCAGGGCAGTGTGCTTACTCGAGAGATCAGTGAGATCTATGTGTTTGGTTTTAAGTGTAGGCTTCAATCCCAGAGAAATCAATGGGCACTGCTGAGAGAGTGATTCTGGTGTGCTTTATTCTTTCATTGCATTACCTTTCCTTTTCAGTTCTCCAAAGCTCCTCACAATCTCGTGAACCACGGCTGCACCACTCTGAGGATCAATGCCACCAAACACCCATGCGTCGCGGTGGCCTCCCAGAATGACATACCTGTCTGGAGAAATTAAACCTTGGAGGTTTACTTAGAAAAACTTTTTTTCCTGACGTAGAGATGTTAATTGGAAGTCAATTCTAATTTTCCAAGCAGCAAAGCTCAATAGTTTATAATATAAATGATGCAAAGACAGAAGACATTTCACATGTCCAAAGACATTTTTTCTGCATTTTTAGCCACTGCTAAAGAATTTGTCAAACACAATAACTAGATCCCGTAAGACTTAAATCCTCTTTAATTCCATAATGTTACTTCTATTATTAGAAATATTGCAACCTTCCTCTAAAGACAGAAGCATCTTTCCATATTTTACAATAGTGTGTTTCGTGGCAAAGCTGACCCATTGATTACATTTGTACAGCACGCTGACTCACAACATTAAAGGTGAATGCAGCATTTTTCTGAATGTCTATAGAAGTCAATCATAAAAGGGGTCACCAAGTCATGACAGAGGTGTGATTGAAAAGATCACAATGCTACTATAATACAATGAACAGTTGAGTTTCAGGCAACAGGGAGGTGATGCAGTTATGAATTAAATGATGTCAATATCATCCTGGGGATGTCTATAGATCTGATTTTTTAGAATGTAAAATGACACTGGTTACAAGAGACAGTAAGACAGACAAAAAGTCAGTAGTGGTGGATAGGATGTCTTCAGATGGAATGTAAAACCCATTCCTGTGTTAGTAGGGAAAAATATCAACTTATGAATATTCTTTCAATCACAAAGTTATTTGCCTGAAGACAAATATTTCTGTCTTGGTTATGAGTTTCCCTCGAAAATCAGCATTTACAGTGAAAGTGCTGACATACCCTGAACCATATGAAAGCTGGTGCAATAAATATTTCAACACCAATGATCATGTAGTGTAACAGTTCAAAGAAAACTATATTCCTCATCTCCTCCTTGTAACTATGAAGTGCAAGCAGAGGTCACGGCACACTCACATTACACTGAAGACAAATTCCTTTACCTGGTTCCACTGCACCTCTGATGGTACCAATCACATTGTAAATCCTTCTTACTTCATTGTTGCTATGAATGTGCATTTTCACTTTTCTAGTGTATTGGGAAGAAAATCCAAAGAGAAAACCCATCAGATTAGATAATAAAACATCTTGACACCTTTTAAAAGTGTACAATATAAATTGTAAAGGAAGTATTTTGGCCAAATTTACTCTCCATTAAACCAAAGTAAATCTGAAAAGACTTTAGTGTAGTACTTTTCTGCATTTATACTTGTGCAATTGAGAACAGCATTTTGCCCTTGAAAGCTATGTACTGTTATTGATGTCAGTAAGACTCCAAATTCAAAGATTTTTTTTGCTAGCAGCTAGTTTTTAAATTTGGAAGACTAAAAGAAAAATTGAAACTATTGATGTTAGAAAGGTAAATAGTTCTAGTCATCTAGAGGCTGGTGGAAATCAGAACTAACTCCAGCACAGTCAATACTGATGTGGCACCTCAGGCAGCAGAAAATCAGGCAACTTGGGTTGCATCAAGAGACTTTGTTTATCTGGGGGTGCAAGAACTGATCCTCAAGGGTTGTTTGTATATTTTCAGAGAGAATTTTTTATGTAGTATGTGTAAGACATATAGAAAAGGTCAAATGGCTCATATGAAGTCAGTACAATAGCTCAGCTAATATTGACACACCTGGAATTTAGGCCTAAACTGTAATTACTAAATCAGTTTAAAAATCACCTGAAGCAATAAGAATGACATTGTAGTTTCAGCTTTTTTTCTGGAAAACTTGACTTGTAGGTTAATACATAAGGCAATAGGTAAGACCAGAAGCTGAACTTACATGAATTTAAAAAAGACAGCAAACAAATTCAGTTCTTAAAACAAGTAACCAGCATCATCAATTAGTTTGTGAAAGGCTAGATGGTTTTCAAATGAACCTCGTTCAAGACTAGCTGGAAACTAAAGCAATTCAGTTACATCCATCCAACCAAGATGTAAATCTACTGGAGCTTTGCACTGACTGCATTTCCGCCCAGGATATGGTCATAATCACAGGAATAACCCCGACTGTTCTACTTTTGGTTAAATTTTATTGCTCTACTCATCTTTCTCTGCACACTTTCCTTATGAAACAAAACTGACCTTGTAGAATAATTAGTTGTGAAACCAGGACCAACATTGTAAGATACATTCAAACTTCCTTTCCAGCTATTATGTGGTGGTGCACTTCCTCCCATATTACTGTTGTGAAAAAAAAAAAAAAAAAAATAAAAATCATTATTAGTTACAGACATCTTACAACAGCAACAAAAACAAATGAGGAACCAGGAACCACACTTTAGGAGGTCAGACACACAGACCACAGTTATGGTTTTTCTCCTAGACAATTTTATCACGCAGTCTTCCAGAGGAGAAAATTCTGTATTTTTAGCTATACTAACACTAGTAAATTAACAAGAGGAATAGTTCTGGACACTGGGAGGGCCTACAGCTACCCTGGAAACAGTGCTTGCCTCTAAAGCTTCTGAACACAAACCCCTGCTTGTAAATGGTCCCTGGAACTTTCTACTGCTTTGAACCGCATTTGCATTTGAATTAGCAGAGAATAACGTGGACCATTCTAACAGTTTAACAGCATAGGTAGTTGTCTTCCAGTGGTTGTCCCTGGACACTGTTAAATCTGGTAGCATAGACAGAGTTGATGTGTTCCAAAGATGTTTAAAACTGGAGAAATAAGATCAATTCAAGTCACCTTTTCTTGTTCCATTGTCAAAGGTGAGACGTTTTTTCTCAGTTAGCACAACTGGAAATACAGTAATTCTATGGATCATAATCACTCATATTTATTCACCTATTCTAAAGGATTTATAGCTTTGACATGAACTTGTGAGAAACAAAAAAAAAAAAAAAATACTGAAAAGTATGCTGGATGTTCTGGTTCTTATTAGGTAAAATAAATTTAATGTAAATGAAAGCATGCTCTTTACTGTAAATGCATAATTCAGTCAACCTTTATTCCACAGAACACTTCAGCATGTATTCAAGTCCTTGGTGTATTTTTTATATAAAAGTATGATAACAGTTCATAGTTATTTAACCAGAAGCTACAGCTTCTCAAGACAAAAATTAAAACAAGGATCCAGTATTTTTTAAAGGACCTAGATTTCATTCATAATTATTAAAACCAGGTTATCTCCAACTTGCTGAAGAGAAATTCCAGCTATATCATATTGAAACACCTTAATCTGCTCAATCACCACTAGTTGGCAGTGGAAAAAAAGCCCTTCAAACTCATACCTTTATCATTAGGATCAATTATCCTGCTAACAGTGATAACCATAAAGTTTTAAAGAAAATACAGTGGAAGATATATTAGTCCATAAAAGTTTGGGAGGAAACAGAAAGAACACTAGGACAGTGTTCATGAACATCAGGTATGCAAAAACACCAAAGACAGCAAAATCCTGCCTCATACAAAAATGAATACTTCAACAGAATCATAGAATCACTATGGTGGAAAGGACCTCTAGGATCATCAAGTCCAACCTTGCTCCCAACATTTCCCAGAGGAAATAGTTTCTGAGGAAACCTGCACAGAGGACCAAAGAAGAATTTTGGGGTTTTGACTCAGTACTCAGAGGCATCAGACCGAGCAGACTGATTGCTCATGTGATTCACATGTAAAATTCCTGTACAAATACTCACCCAAGATTATGTTCATTTATTGCCCTAAACACTTCTTGGTAGTGTTGCCAGCTTTGGCACATCCCGCTCTGTATCTCTACAGTTGATAGAGATGATTACTGCTACATTTTTAGGGGAAAGATACACTTGCCAATTCAATCACATCTTAGTTTTTTTCAGAGAACTTGTTTGGTTTGTTAAGGTAACTGTGAATTTTAATACTGTCCGCTGGCAAGCTGGTAACTTCTCTCCATGGCTCATTTAGTAAGCACACTTAATGACACGTAGATGTACATTAAGTCTCCTATAATGCTCCAGTTTTCTCAGTGTCCTTATATGAGGTCACGAGCATCACTTCATATCTATGCAACATACTACACCTGATGAGAGAAAGTCCACCTTCATTTAACAGAGGACAGTGCATATACTGTCCCATCAAAAATACATGGCAGGTATTTCCCTGGCTTCATTTGTAGTCTTTTGCACAAAACAGGTATTATGCCATCCTCAAAACTTTTTGCCTTTATTCACACTGAGAGGCACTTTATAACTTGCGTATACTTGACTGATCACGATATATCATAAATGATACTTTCCAGATCACTCTGCACATGCAGAGAACCTAAAGACAAACAGACACAGACTATTTCAACAGCTACAGTAGAAGCACAGTGCAAAAGTCTTTTCCTTTTCTCTTCAAATACTCTCATAACTTTAAAAAAAAACCAATCTGCTTAAAATTCCTCATGTCCCACATACCACTTACCGCAGTAACGACTCAGCATCGTGATAGCCAATGGGATGAACTGGAATTTTTGGGAGACCTACACCGTTGGCTTTGTCTAATCTGTAGGTGTATTCTGAAAGCAAATAGATGGATATTTTCATAATTACCACTCTCAGAAGGAATCTGTACAGTCCACAGCACAGTCCTAACACTGGAGTCAGAGATAAGAGTTTCACTTTCCTCAAAGTTGAGCTGACATTTCTTCAGTGATTTCATTCTTTATGTTTGTTTTATCAATGTATTTTCAGAGAGACATTAACAAAAGTTCTCCATAGTGTCTGCAGTCATGCATTTAGAGCTGGCTGGATGTTTTAAAATTGCTTGCTTTTCTGTGTTGATATACTTTTAGATAGAAATATTTTTCTCCATGGGAAAGAACTTCAGACTAAGCCACAGAGAAAGAAAAAGAGCAAAAAAGTGCATAGTCTGATGCCTGGAACATTCAGCTGGGAACTAAAAAGATTTTGCCAGTTGGTAAGAGAGAGAGACAAAATTGTATGCACTGGGCTACTGAATATTTTGGTTTTCTGTTTTTTTGAACGAAAAAGCAGTCTAGGTTTTGTTCTGACAAAGCTCAAATATAAATCATGTTTTTCTTTACATATGAGAAATTTAGTTTTCACAATATGGACAAAAAACTGATGTTTGCAAGCCAGCAGGTATGGAAAAGAATAGTTTTCTCCTTAATGCAACATTCACAGAAGCTCTTGGTGAGGGAAGCAGACAGGGATTCATCTATAAGATCACTGACTCTAGCAGGAGAAACCAGAAATCTTCCTCATGGTCTGCTCCTGCCATGATGCTGCTGTGAACATTGGCCAGAGAAGACTTAGGGACTGCTCTTCCTGAGATGACTGCCTCCCTCAGATATGCTGCCTCAAGTGCCTGCATGAATGGGTGTTAATGCATTTTAGTCAAAATGATCTGGGTTAGGTGCTAAACGGAACAGCTTCAGCAGAGCTCAAATAAGCAGCTCAGGAAGCATGAAGTTAAGATGATGAACCAGTAGGGTATGATCATCTTCTTAGAGCCTCAGCTGCAGCCAAGTGACATGAGTACTGGCATGGAAAATCTCAGCATTGCCAGTAAGGGCTCTCATGAAGGGAAGGGAGCCCAAACCTTGCAGAAAGGAGAAGAGCAAAAGTAAAGAAACCTGTGAGCTGTGCAGGCTGCGTCCTTGCTGACTTACTGATGAGAAACAGAAAGAAAAGACTAGGGCTTCAGGTGTTGATATGCTTGTATCATGATCTCTGGGCTAACTTGGGTATGTCTGTGAAGTCAAGCAGCCCAGCACTGCACTACGTGGTTCCCTTGTCCTCCCTTCACTTTCTCTCGTGCACCATTTACAGAAGTGGCCTACTGACAGGAAGTCCAAAGCTGCTTCTTTTGAGCAACAGAAAGACCAAGAAAAAAAATGTGATTTCTTCCAAGGGAATTAACATGCCCATTACCTTCCCCGCTCTTTCCTCGGAGCTTGATTTCTCTAGCGTCACTCACCTTTTGCAGGATAACCTGGTGTCAGAGGATCTCCTGCCCCATTCAGGTTTAATACATTTCCACGCTGGGCTCCTCCACCTGGAAGGTTCCAGCCACTTGGATAGGGCTCTGTTCCTGGGGCGCAGTAGTCAGCAGGGTCAGAGTACAGAATAATTCCCTTGGCACCTGCCAGTTCAGCATTCTTCACCTGCAAAGCACATTTACAGTTCCTATCCAGTCCTTTATAGCTTGACACCAGAGTTCAAAAGGCAAAAGAAAGTATTATAAATTAGTGATTACTCCTCAGGGCCTTTTACAGTGCTTGGCTAAGTAAAGGGCCCACAGCTGTCTCATAACAAACTTTTTTCTGAAAATACATATGCAGATATCAGGTTCCATACAGAACAGGTTTGCTGTTGCTTTGAATTTTACTTAGGAGATAACTGCAGTATCACGGAAAACATCCTTCACAGGATTATTACATAACCTGAGTTTGTATTCTGTCATCCAGATCAACACTATCAACTGGCTACTGAAATGTACACACCATGGTTGGAAAAAACTGTATCCCACTGATGCCACCTTATTGTTCAGTTTGCCACATATTTACCTTGTTCACCTAGATAATCTCCTGAATGTATCTCAGGGTTCAGACTACACAGGAAGTTTATTATTGGAGAGCTTGAAATTGTCTTTGGCTGTGAACAAGACTAACTTCAAAGACTGTGTATCTTGGGCTTTTTATGGCAGAAGTTCTGACCTGTATGCTGTGTTGATTAAAAAAAATGTTCTCATACAACTTCATTATTGTATAATACTGGTTGGTATAGAGTGAGAAAGACAAAATAAATGTCATCCTGACACCCCAATCTGTTTTGCTACTAGATATGACAGAAATGTATAGTGACTGTGTGACAACTAACCCTTAACAGTTTCAAATTTGCGTATTTTAATTCAGAAATACCGTAGCTTTTTTAAGGAAATAACAGTACTTGACTTCATGCTCTATCCTATTCTTGCACACCATCAGGAAGCTGGAAAATGACAGGACAGTTCTGGAGATTTTATAAAGGCTGCTGAATTCTTCAGTACATAAACAGTCGTTAGAAACAACCATCACAGTGAACATATCATCCCTTTGTGTCAACAAGGGCATGTAATTCCCAAACCACAGGATAACTGCCCTTATAGCTATTAGCAATGCTGAGGTGTTCATACTTAATTTTAAGAAAAGATTCACAGACAGCAATACCTTCTTCAATTGTTAAGTCTTTTCCATTCAGATAGTACATTTAAGGGTGGTAAGCCATTTAGTGGAAATACTATCTGCCACAGAGTATGAGCTACATGTCACTTTTCACTGGTGGAAATGGCATGTATGTAACCAGTGAGCTACCCACAGAAAAGCTCACAGAAGATTAGGCAACAGCACGTAGTAAGAATTGGCATTCCACGGAGGAGAATCAGTGCTCAATACCCTTAGGGAACTGAGAAATACAATCATTGTCCTGCTCAAATTAGAGTCAAACTAATTTATGCTCAAGAGCCAAACACACTTAAAATAGTCATTTTACATCCCTGTTGAGGAAATAACTTGAGTGTATGCCTGAAGTGTGCACATGATTATGCCCTTTCCTGTTAGGCTGTAGAAATCTGCAGAAATTTGTAGTTTAAAAGTATTTATATGATAGGGAAATTGAAAAAACAAACATAGAATTTAAACTAACCTCCATATAGTTAAAGTCTCTTCCTGGTGCACAGAAACCATTATGAAGAAACACAGTATAGGCAATTTAAAGCACAGCTGAACCAACAGGGAAGAACAGTCCAGTTCAGCATTAGTGTACTGCCCAAGAATGTTAGTAATAGTTTTGAACAATTTATAGTATCTATATATTTATTATATATGAATTCACATTATTCATATAAATTATATATGAATATAAAAATATGTGGCATTTTCCAGCTTTTCTTTTATCCTATGGATGTATTTTATATATATATACATATATATATATATCTCAAATATATATTTGATATCTTCAACTAAAGAATCATTTTTGAATACAGGTCTATGAAAACTCAGTTATGCTAAAATCTGCAGAACATTTTAGGTAATTGTTTCAGTCTCCTAAAATCAATAGGACAGCACAAGTAACATTTTTATACAGAGGCATTACCTTATTTCCTCTGAAGATCTTCCCATATCTGGCAATAACAATCTTTCCTGTGCAGTTAATTCCCAGCTCACGTTCTAGCTTAAAGAAGTCCTCGGTGCGGCCATAGTTCACATACACTAACTCACCCTGACAGAAAGAGATAGAATTTGAAACAAGAATGTCAATGAGCATGTCAAAAGGAGGATGTGATCTAGGAAGAGAATAAGCTGGGAACAATGAGCTCTGGGACTGGTTCTGGTATAAATACCCCTCTGATCATGAGACAGTTAAGTAGGCAAGTGACTTCTAATGAATTTAGAATCCAGCCATCCAAAGCAGCCAGATTTTGTTCACAACGGAGAATGAGAAACCAAAAGTGCTCAGAGTATAGCAATTACTTCACTTCGTAATCTGTTCAAGCTGTAGTCAGTCTTGGACAGCTGAAGGTATTTTGGACCCAGACACCACAGTAAATACGGAGTAGACTGAATGATGCCAATACCCTGGGAACTTCTCAGGACTTGATTCTTATTCAATATGGCAGAAGCCACAAGTGACTTACTGTCAGAAAAATACCCCTTGCACATGAATAAAGTATTCTTCATGATCATGTTTCAACCAAGTTATTCAATACTTGGTGTGTAATTCATCTTTCTTAACATCAGCTACCTATGGGCTGGGTGACTTGTCTAAGAAGGTCCTGTACTCCATCTATCTCCACAGCCAGTAAAGAGATGGGGAGTTCTCTGAGAACTCACCTTTCCAAAAGAATTCACCCCAAAGCTGTTTTAAACACCTATTTCAGGAAGGAATTAATTGCCCTCTGGATGCACCTCTCATTGATTATACCTCAAGGACTGTTTTAGAGTAAATGCCTATAAAAAGCCTGAGACTGGTGTAGGAAAGACACCTACAATTTCAGACAACTAAAATTAGGTGACAGGAAACTTCCTTAGTGCATTTCTCCATATTACCAAATACCTCCAGAGAGATTATCAATTTAATTGCAAAGAAGCATAAACTTAAATCTCTTATACTGATAAAAAGCCCAGACTAGACTTTCAGCTGGTCTCATATAACAGCATATAGCATAACCTGGTAAGTTTGTGGTACAGTCATTTTGATGGTACCAGTTTCATCTGCTTATGTGGCAATTTCTACCTAAATTAAGCAAAATGAAGTCAGTTAGGATAAATTAATGTAATAAAAAGGACTGTATTTAAATATAGCAAATAGTTTCACACCTAGCAAGATTCTGGTCCTCTTTGCTCACAGAACAGTTTCTAAACACAAGGCTAATTCCTGGGGAGGCTTTTCTGAATATATGGAGTAGACTTCCCTCTCAGTAAAATGAAGTGTAATCATACTGAAGTCAAGACAGTTCTTCCAGTCTATTTAGATTAAGCAAAAGGGGAATTTAGTCCACCATTTTAACATCTTTTCTTCAGAATTTCAATAATTTGGCATACAGATTTGCAGAGATGTAATTATAATATTTAATAGCATCCTGCAGGGTTCTCTCATTCAGGTCCCTTGTTCTACAATAAAGTGTAAAACAAGCTAATGTGAGAGTAACATTTTATTGCGAAAATCTGTTCATACTTCACAGGTATTTTTAAAATAACTGCATCTGATATGACGTATATCATCTGTATTCACAGCATTTTTCCCAGTGTTGCAGAATAATACTCTCAGTATGAAGAAATTTGACCACTTCTCCCACTTTCCAGGAAGGTGGCCTACTCATGAGACTACAGTTAGCATAGGAGGCAGGTACTTTACAGCCTTCTCCTTTCACTGAACTTGAAGCTTTATGCAGGAATAGTTTGCAAAACTAATGAGTAGAAATAGAACCTATGACTGATGACTGCACTTGGCAATTTCTAAATATACCACTCCTCATCTTAGTTCTGTTTTTTAATAGAATGGTTTTGACATAAAATACATAAACAGGCCAGGGAGAATTCAGAAGTGACCTGAATCCACTGAGTGTTCCCACTGCTGAGCAATACAAATGCTTCCTCCTTTGCTGTTTTCAGTACAGGAGCAGAAAACTACTCAATGGATAATGCTATGGTCAACAGCACTAGCTAGGTACCTGGGTCTTTGCCAAAGTATTGAGGAATACGGTGAAAATAAGCATCCTATTTTGAAAGGACAATCTGTCTTTTAGTTGTTGGGGTTTTTTTAGAAACAACGTTCTTGCATTTAATTAAAATAAAATCATTTTCTAAAGAAGGAACCTGCAGCTTCTTCAGCTTGTTTTTATTTCCCATACACCATTGCTTACTGTAGCTGTCCACAAAGCAAATAAGCAGTGAGGTTATTCTGTCTTTCTTTGGGGCTATTATGTTACGATACAAAGTCAGAACCCATGAATTTTACCTTACATTATCTTGCAAAATACCCACTGCAATTCTTGAAACACTCAAAGTTCCCATATCCTAGGGTACAGATTCTCTGCCTGGTTCTCCAGCTTCCTTTGAGTATTTGAGGCAAATGAACACAGGATGCTTTTTGTTTTCTGGACTTGCACAGCTTACTAACAAACTTCAGAAAGAACATGATTCTAATACTGGGTTGTGTGAGTAAAATCACTGTTAGCAGGTTTCAGAGCCAGACCTGACTTTGAAGTGGAGATGGGACCAGATGACCTCCAGAGGGCCCTGTCAACCTACATAACTATGTATAGATAGGAAATACTGAGGACAACAAAAAAAATTCTATCTTATGAAATACTAATTCAAACCACTCATGGTCTTAGGATAGAAACACCCTGTTACATAGGTCGGTTTATAAAAGAAAGCCCATCAGCTGCTACCATCTGTACAATGAGACAGAAAGGATTAGTGTTAAGCTCAGATCACATCAACATTTTGCCAGCAAAAGGTATTTTCAAGCATACTGTACACTGTGCAGTTATACCCGTCAGTGTGAGCCTTGGGCAAGCAGCATTTTGGGTATTAGATTGTTCATTTGGCTATGCAAATATAACTGTCTTATTTGTTCCCCAAGATGGTAAGCAATGGTGCATAGTCACAGAAATATCTGGAGAAGCCTATAGCAGCTAACAATATTAAAGATTTATTACTATATTTTTTTAAGGAAAAGGTAAAAATAAAATCCAGTTCTGACTCAAATGAGAGAAAAAAAGAAACATATATGTATGACAGTTCAATTTGAACATTGCTCCATTGCAAAACTCTGAAGAACACCAGAGCTAGGACATCTTTCCTACTGGTATATATCAGGTTTTTGAACTGAAGTCCAAGACCCAAGAATTTCACATTATTCTGTCATTCTATCCTATTCTGTGCTATGCTGTGGTAGTCCATCTTTTCTATTATTTCTATTTCTGTCTGTATTTCTATGTCTACTTCTGTTCCTTCTTCTATTTCTATTATTCTGTTTCATTTCTATTTCTATTTCTTTTACTATTTTACTATGTTACCTCAGGCATTCCTTGGGCTGAAAATGCACTGTAGGGTGGCACCACATCTCTAACAGCCTCATATCCTGGGGGAGGAGGCTCAGATAATGATGTGTTGAAAATCTAGTGGCAAAAAAAAACAAAATTAAAAAAAAAAAAGGAAAGCAGGTAGTATGGAAAAGAAATACTCTCTATTCAGGCAGACTTCACATGCATTTGCAGTTTTAACGACTCTGGTTTCAGAACCCTAAATGAGGAGTGGCCAAACTTTAGCAAGCACTGAGCATCCTTTTCAGTATGAAGGTTCAGTTTGTGATCTTACAAATCCCATCTCCATTTTTCACACAAAATCCTGCTTAAAATAACACAAGGTCCCTTAAGATGGTCTCAGTATGGCAGGTAAGGACAGGTTAGATGACAGTGGTAGAAATACTTGCATTCTGCTCACCCCTGGAGCTTCTACGAGCACTATAGCTGCTCTGTAACGCACTGATATTATCTGTGATACACTATCTCAACGCCACAACTCTAATCTTCAAGAAACTGAATTTAGCACAATCACAAATATTGTATAATGAGTCAATTCAGATTACAATGCTGACCATGATAATTTTAAACAATTTCATTACCTAAAGTAATTCTTTTACATAATTCACCTTTCATCTATATATGTCAGAACACTAAATGCGTCTGAGTAATTTTTGGTATTCCTAACACATACGTTACAAAAAAAAAAGATACAAAATATAAAAACAAATTAGAATCCCTCATTTCTGTGCACTTTGGATCAGGCCCAACACCACTAACAGAGCAGAGGGCAGCTTTCCCTCCCAGGCTTCCCAAGTATATGAAGGTGATTTTGTTCCTTGATTGCAAAAACTGGTGTTTTCTGTACCTCATTTCCATGCTCATCAATTATTGAGATGTAGTTGGGTTTAGTGTCATCAGGGTAAGAGAGCAAGACATCATAATGAATCAACTGAACAGAATCCAAACCAAACTCCTTCCACTCAGCTTGGACTTGCTCTGCCAGATGCAGATTCTCCTTTGTTCCTGCTAGGTGAGGAAGCTGTGTGAAATTGCTAGAGAAAAAGAAGCGACGAGTCAGGATCAGGCATTGCAGCTCAGAATCAGAACTCCTCTTAGCCTAGCTGCAGATAAACCCCCTAGAGATGACCAGATGTACCCACGCTAAATAAGGGCCCAGACTCCTCTGCGCCTATGCTTTTGCCTGTCTCACATGGAACTGAGGTACAGGGTTTCAAGTCTGTCCTGAGCTATCACAGGTGTTTGTATCTTCCTTGCAGTGTGGCCTAGCAAGAATGGCACGATGGCTTCACCTCTGGGGTCTTGTCCTTGGTTTACTCCTCATCTTCTGGGTGACCTTGTGCCAACTGCTCCTATGAATAAGTCCGACCTTCCTTGTGAAGTGATAAAAGAATTGAGTATAATTATCTTCGTGTATCCAATTTAGAAATGTGCATAATTACTCTGATGCCTACTTTTAATTAGCTGGATATTCTCCTTGGATCCCACTATTTTAATTAATTTTGGCCCAAATACTGATTTATCTAGAAGTTCACTCTGAGTGTGTCCTGTTGGCAAATAAGAGATAGTGAGTTCACAGTGGCTGAGAAAAAAGGAACAGAAAAACTCAACAGCTTGTGACTTAAAAGTCATTCAGTGACTTAAAAGTCAAACAGTGAAAAATACCATAAATAGTGAGCAACTCATTGTCTGAAAAAATAATTGTCCAGATCACCGAGAAAACCTGGTGGTGAAGTGAGCTGGAGAAACTCCCAGCTGAATGAAGTTGTCATCATGATGTCCTCATCCTGTCATATAACCATGTCATCAACATGCCACAGACAAAGAAGCAGGTGTCACAACAGCTGGTGTTAATAATGGAAATTGGATCTTCAATAAAGGAAGGGGTGTAAGATTGGGAAAAAAAAATAATTCTTGAGTTCAAGTGAGAACAAAGCCATTAAACAAAGCACTTTGAATGAACTGAGGAGAGGAGAGGGGAGGGGAGGGGAGGGGAGAAGAGGAGAGGAGAGGAGAGGAGAGGAGAAGAGGAGAGGAGAGGGGAGGAGAGGAGAGGAGAGGAGAGGAGAGTTGGGATGGACCTACAATGACCATCTAGTCCAACTGCCTGATCAGTTCTGGGCTAACCAAAAGTTAAAGCATGTTCTCTAGAGTATTGTCCAAATTCTTCTTAAACACTGACAAGCTTGGAGCATTGACCACCTCTTCTAGGAAACCAGTTCCAGTGTTTTACCACTCTCTCATTAATGCTTCCTAACATCCAGACTGAACTTCCCTTGGTGCAGCTTTGAAGCATTCCAAGGTGTCCTATCACTGAATGCCATGGAGATGAGATCAGCATCTCCTCCTTTCCTCAGGAAGCTGCAGAGAGCAATGAGGTCAGCCCTCAGCCTCCTTGTCTTTAAATCAGGCAAACCCAAAGCGCTTAGCAGATGAATGCTGCTAGATAAAACCATGTTCTTCTGATAACATCAACACCTATTGCCAACACAGTACTAAAAGTCCCTGTTAGAGTGACAACATCATTTTCTGACATGCTGAACCAAGAGCACAGTTATAGGCTATTATTAGAGCCAACTGCTCTTTTTTTCTAAGAGTTAGGAATGTTTAAGTCTCGTGTTTTCATTAAAATTTTACTTCTATAACATTCTCCTGCATCATATTCCCGTTTAACTGAATATTGTGATTTTTTTCATTTCCTCTTCTAATCTGTTGACTGCCTGTACTTGTAATTCTGAGCAGTGACGAAATATCTGCTGTGTTTCACAACAGAACTGGCTGCAAGACAGTAAATGAAGTACAATGTTTCCTGTTGGCATCCAGACAGGGAATTTAGAGGGCAGAAAGCAGTCCTTTCACAGGGCTGTTTGAAAACAGTTGACTTTGTGGGAGCCAAAACACAGGTTAAGACTAAAAAATCCTAAGTCTTCAGTTTCCATTGTTTATATAGTCCAGGACATGACCGTTATGTAATAAAGATAACGTACTTTGCAGCTAATTTATTTGCAATAATTTGTGGCAAGTGTATTTCAAATTAACAGCATCACCATAAGCTTATAGACCGTAAATATTTTTTAAAATAACTTAGTTTTGTAGCAAGATACAACATCATGCTATGTAACCAGGCTGGGAATTTAAGGCAAACCCAAATTTGTTGATTACTCCTAATACAACAGACACCCAACACTTTCTTTGCACAGGAAGTAAATTTCTACCAATAAACTATGACTTCTGGTCTATTACTGCCTGGAATAATACATGCTTTTAAGAAATACTAAACTCTCCTACGAGAAAAATAATCTGTCTACAAGATCCCTAAAATAAACAAATAAAACTACAACAGATTTCTTGTAGTTAAAGCTTATAAATTACAGAAATTAAGAAAATTATAGTAATTAATCTGGCATAGAATTTTAAGATATATTGTCATTGTCCGTTGTTTGAATTTTCAAGAACAAATATTAGCAGCTTTGCTTCTACAATTTAACACATACAAGAAACACAAGGTATTTTAAATCACCTCATTTAAAGGGTGGATTAAATGAAAAAAATTCTTAGGAAAAAATAAAAACACTCTAAAGCTTTAAGACTGTTAGATTTCTTCTGGATAGTCTAATGTACCATCAGACAACTGGTTGGTATCTACTATGTCTGTTGTAGATATACTGTAGATACTCACTGCGCAGAGGGGGACAGCTTGGAAACATCTTTCTTCATGAAAATAGAGTACAAGGTTGGAACGGTGACAGATTAACACATACATTTGGTCACAGCATGACAAAGTGTGAAGGGAGAGCGGCAATAAGGTATTAAGGCCTAAACTGCAGGAAGAACTAAAGGCTCAGACACTGATACAATTTTCTCCTCTTTCACTTTGATGTACTCCACTATTTTCCATTTCACCTCTCCTCATTTAAGTTCATTCATACAGCCTAAATGATTTTTCCATAGAAAACAATGTAAGATAGACACCGCAGACTGAAAAAGGACGCAAGAGAAAGAACTTCTATGCCACTAGAAGCGTTCACTAAATGCTAAGCAACAGCTTCACCAATTTTTAATTACTTTAAGTACCAACACGAACAGGAATGAGAGGACCTGAGATGGACAGTTTTGTCAATCACAGCTCATTGGCACACGTTTGATAAAAAAAAAAATCTGTTTGAGAACCTGCACACCATCCTCTGTTGGCATCCTTGGGCTGTTCCTGCTTGATTTTTTTTTTTTTAAGTCTACACATTGCTTACTGAAGAAACTGCTTGATGTTTTCAGCTTTCATTTCAGCCATAAATGCTGCCTTCATGTCTTCATGAGGACTCACAGATGTCGTCTTTTCTGTTGGTTTTGCAAACCACCCTGTGCAACAAACAAAATTCAACAGTAAAATCACCAAAGCAATACTCCCCTGACACACACAATTCCTCTTTGATATTGCCACAAAATTTGCATTGTGTATTTTACATCTGTTTTTATCTCAGCATGGACAAGCAGCCACAACTTAATGCAGACTGCACAGTGATGGCAGTGGCAGACTCCCACATAGTAAGAAAACTTATTTGCCTAGGTAGATAGTGAGGGGAATGAAATACTATATTTATTCATCAGAGTAATTCTACTAGAGATGTTAAGGAAACTTATCTATCTTCCTTTAGCACCAGAACACCATCCTGTCAATCACGTCAGTCATGTCAGTCATATCAGTCACCTCAGTAATAAGGCAGCAGCTTTACAAAAATGCACAGAAACACTGACACCCTTTGTAAGGAACAGATGTAACTCCTTTCCCACTCTCTGGTCTGTCTGGCTCATTCTGGAACCCTTCCCTCACCGTGCAGACATTACCAGAGTAAGTGATGAGAGGAACACCTGGCTCACAAGGAAGTGTTTCTGACATCTTTTATTTTTAAGTCAGACTGGACATGTTCAGTGCAAATGCAGCAGTAGTCACTCCAGTAGTGCAAATGAGAGAACCAGGAGGGAGCAGAGAGTGGGTAACAAGCTGGCGCAGTCACTGGCACAGGCTCTTTCCGCACGAGAGGAATTCAGTCAGAGCTTCCCAACAACACGAACCTCAAGTACATACCAAAAGGCATTTCAAAATACACTTTTGTTTCCGTTCCTCCCTGTAACTGACCCTGATCTATTCGTGAGCAACAGAGAAGGTAGGGAGGGAAAACCCCTTGTGGCACCCATCCGTAGGCCTGCCTGCTTGGACTGAGGGAGAAGTGGGACATTAAATAAAGCCGATTTCACGCCTCCTTCACCCCTTCTGTCAGAGCTCCTCCAGCCTCCTATTCATCTTCCCGCCTTTCTGGTTTGGGCTGGTACTTTTTTAACAGCGGAGGCAAGGGGCCCGTCTCCGTTGCCTTCTCTCAAAACTGGAGCCTCTTCTCTTGCCCATAACATAACTGCTTTATTTAAAAGGATATCGCAAAATAAGTCAAAAAGTCAAAGCCTCTTTCTCCTGCGGAGGAGCGTCCGCGGAGGGGTCGGTGACTGCTCCTGCCTGGGGTGAAGGGCAGGGAGAG